TCCTCGCGTCTGTCATTATAGCATGAAAGCAGCAGCCACGAACACATAAACGAGTAAATGTAACGTGTTCCAATAAAACTTTATCTGTACAAACAAGTGCTAGCCAGGGGATGGCCTGTGACCCACAATCCAGCAACCACTGAACTAGACTATAAATTCATCATTGTGAAGGGAATGGCTTCATCAGCGTCCTCTCCGTAGCTTCGGGTGGGGAAGGAGGAAAATTTTAGGCTCCAGGATGTGCCTCGTATCAGTTTTCCAGTCACCCCCCAGGAATGCCCTGGACTCACAGCACCAAATGCTCCAACGTTTCCCTTAACGTACAATAATTATTTGTTGTGAGCCGTTTGTGTTCTCTGCATCTCGCCTTGTGCCGTCTTGCATTTATCCTGTTTACTTCACTACATGCTAATAGTCCCAAGGGCAAGACTTCTTAATTGGCACTTTCTCTCAGAATTTAGCTTAATGATCAGCAAAAGATACTGCAGACAAACAAATCCTTCCCCCTCTTCTCAAAGGACACACAAAAATACAGCTAAACAGGAAGAAAAGACACTGCCATCTTTTGTGTTCACCACCAGTGTGGCTGTGGTAGGGAGGACAATCTTCAGGTCTACCCCACAAAGGCCAAGTGCATTAGGACTTCCTGGGGGCTAGGCCTGACCTCACCCAATAGTGTCCCTGGATATTGCACATGGAAGTATCTACTAAATTCAAAAGTATGATGAACTGTATGGTGAACTAAGCTAATTTCTTTTTTTTTTAAGATTTATTTATGTATTTATTAGAGAGAGAGAGAGAGAAAGAAAGAGGCAGAGACACAGAGGGAGAAGCAGGCTCCATGCAGGGAGCCCGACATGGGACTTGATCTGGGGTCTCCAGGATCAGGCCACGGGCCGAAGGCGGTGCTAAACCGCTGAGTCACCCAGGGCTGCCCCTAAGCTAATTTCTTACACTCGCGCAGAACTGTGGAATTCGGAAACAGGAAAAGCTTTTAGATATTGTCATCCAGTCCAATTCACTGTGCCATATACACAGAAATTATGGCTCAGATATCATGAGAAGTTAGTTATTCAGAGCTGGGCATAGAACGGAATATAAAACTGAGCTAAATCTCATGTTCTTTTAAACATAATGAAGTTCCTGATGCTTTAGGGAATCCTGTAATGGATCTTCCCTCAAATAAAAACATATGCATTAGTAAAAAGGTTTATTCCCTGATTGAGCAGCTCCTTGAATCGGAGTTCTCGCAGACTCAGTTTACCTAGTAGAAGGTGCCCCCGTCATTACTCACAGTGTTTTATCTGGGAGATCATGACAGGCCACAGCAACACAGCAGAGACGACATAAAATTGTGGCTTGGGGAATATAAAAAATAGTGAAAGGGAATAAAAGGGAAAGGAGAGAAAATGAGTGGGAAATATCAGGAAGGGAGACAGAACATGAGAGACTCCTAACTCTGGGAAACAAACTAGGGGTGGTGGAAGGGGAGGTGGGTGGGGGTGGGGGTGACTGAGTGACAGGCACTGAGGGAGGCACTTGCGGGATGAGCACTGGGTGTTATGCTAGATGTTGGCAAATTGAACTCCAATAAAAAATAAATTTATAAAAATAAAAAAGTTGTGGCTGGGGATCCAGCAGTAGGGTATGGAAGGTCAAGCCTCTGGGGACAGCCCCAATCTTAGAGCACAGGAGACCTCATCCTCTTCACACACCTGTGTCCTCAATCTCAGTTTCTCCATAGACTGTTCTCATAGAGCATCAAATGAAGAGGAATATAGGGAACGACTTCCACAACCAGCTAAATCCTGGGGGGGGGGGGGGGGAGCCTTCTCTGCAGCCGTCTCTACCCCTCACTGCCAGAACCTGGTTCATCAAGCCAGCAACACGTTCTCAGAGCCACTAGCCCAGTCTGAAAATCTCATTAGCATAATCTGGTGAGAAAAGGTAGAAAGATCAAAAAACCATGAAGGAGACACCACCCACATCTAAAAACAAAGCAAGCTGAGTGAAATAAGTCAATCGGAGAAGGACAAACATTATATGGTCTCATTCATTTAGGGAATATAAATAATAGTGAAAGGGAATAGAGGGGAAAGGAGAAGAAATGGGTAGGAAATATCAGAAAGGGAGACAGAACATGGAAGACTCCTAACTCTGGGAAACAAACTAGGGGTGGTGGAAGGGGAGGAGGGTGGGGGGTGGGGGTGACTGGGTGACGGGCACTGAGGGGGGCACTTGATGGATGAGCACTGGGTGTTATTCTGTATGTTGGCAAATTGAACATCAATAAAAAATAAATTTATTATTTAAAAAATAAATAAATAAATAAATAAACAATTAAATAAATAAATAAATAAATAAATAAATAAATAAATAAATAAATAAATAAAAACAAAGCAAGGCTTGATGTCACAGAGAATGGCCACTCCCTGGATCATTCCAAGTGGGGTCTCTCAGCTACTCTGGCAGTATAGGAAATGGAAAGGGCATCATCTTTTGCGTTTTTAGTAGTAGGAATAATTAAACTTGCTGTGTACGGGTGGTGCAAATACTAAACCAAGTAGGCTCCACGTAAAGTGCCCTACAAAGAGCACTCTCATGAGGGGAATCATGAAGGACCGTCAACACAGCCAACTCTAGTAAGTAAAAGCAGTGAAACTGGCTCATGGAAGACAGTGTTCAACCCCAGCCCTGACTCTCCGTGACGCGTATCGTAGTTCTCCATGTACGCCCTTTGCCTTTTCCTCTCTGTGCCCGCTGGAACATGAGCAGGGGCCACAAGCCCATCACCAAGGACTGTAGGTTCCTACAGGACAGTGTTTTTCAAACTGGGTTGTGACCCGTTAGTGGGCTGTGAAGTTCATGTCATGGATCACAACCGGTATATGTTTTTTCAACAGAGAAGGAAAGAGCACATCTCAGAAAGTAAGAGTGGGCATTGCCCCGGGCAATGTCTGCACAGACATTGATGTGTAGGTACTGGTAGGTGCATGCTGGGTCACAATGCAGCGCTTACTTCTTTCTGCGAATTGTGGTCGGGATATAAAATTCACTTCTTATGGAGAAATACTGTGCCACTAACACAGATCTTCGCCACAGCTCCCGTGTGAAAGGCCCCTTATTATCAGGAGTGTGATTGGAAGGATGTTGGCTGAGTACTAGAACTGTCCACGTGCTAACTACTCTGTCCTAATGGACATATTCCAGGGACAAGACCTCAACAGCCCCACGGAAGCTCCCCACTGTTCCAAGCCTGAGTGAGCCCTGCTCCCGGGTAGGCAGCACGGCTTGGCGGCAAAGCTGGGCTGAAAGGGGCGATCTTCACAGTCACCCCTGATTTTTTTAATAAATTTATTTTTTATTGCTGTTCAATTTGCCAACATATAGAGTAACACCCAGTGCTCATCCCATCAAGTGCCCCCCTCAGTGCCCATCACCCAGTCACCCCCACCCCCCGCTCACCTCCCCTTCCACCGCCCCTAGTTCATTTACCAGAGTTAGGAGTCTCTCATGTTCTGTTTCTCTTTCTGATATTTCCCACTCATTTTCTCTCCTTTCCCCTTTATTCCCTTTCACTATTTTTTATATTCCCCAAATGAATGAGACCATATAATGTTTGTCCTTCTCCGACTGACTTACTTCACCCAGCATAATACCCTCCAGTTCCATCCACGTCGAAGCAAATGGTGGGTATTTGTCGTTCCTAATGGCTGAGGAATATCTCATTGTATACATAGACCACAGTTTCTGTATCCATCATATGTCGATGGGCACCGAGGCTCCTTCCACAGTGTGGCTACTGTGGACATTGCTGCGATAAACACCGGGGTACAGGTGTCCCGGCGTTTCACTGCATCTGTATCTTTGGGGTAAATCCCCAGCAGTGCAATTGCTGGGTCATAGGGCAGATGTATTTTTAACTCTTTGAGGAACCCCCACACAGTTTCCAGAGTGGCTGCCCCAGGTCACATTCCCACCAACAGTGTAAGAGGGTTCCCCTTTCTCCACATCCTCTCAACATTGGTTGTTTCCTGTCTTGTTAATGTTCCCCATTCTCACTGGTGTGAGGTGGGATCTCATTGTGGTTTTGATTTGTATTTCCCTGATGGCCAGTGATGCAGAGCATTTTCTCATGTGCTTGTTGGCCATGTCTAGGTCTTCCTCTGTGAGATTCCTGTTCATGTCTTTTGCCCCTTTCATGATTGGATTGTTTGTTTCTTTGCTGTTGAGTTTGATAAGTTCTTTATAGATCTTGGAAACTAGCCCTTTATCTGATGTGTCATTTGCAAATATCTTCTCCGATCTGTAGGGTGTCTTGTAGTTTTGTAGACTGTTTCTTTTACTGTGCAGAAGCTTTTAATTTTGATGAAGTCCCAATAGTTCATTTTTGCTTTTGTTTCTCTTGTCTTCATGGATGTAACTTGCAAGAAGTTGCTGTGGCTGAGTTCAAAAAGGGTGTTGCCTGTGTTCTCCTCAAGGATTTTGATGAACTCAAAATGGATGAAAGATCTTAATGTGAGACAAGATTCCATCACCCCTGGTTTAAATACGAGGCAGGAGACATGCGAGGAGAGGCCCTCCAGCTCTGGGAGTCCCCTCGGTACTTAGGAGAAGCATGTCCTCTGAGAACAAGACACTCGAGGACCGGAGATTTATCTACAAGACATGAAGCTCACTCTCCATATTTGCAGGGGGTAAGTCCGAGCATTTATTGAAGGTCTGCGGGCACAGGTGCAGCTCTGGAAAATGCCAGTCCCGTGGAGCTGCCTTCCCTCTGGGCGTGCTCTGGTGGCTCCCGCTGCTGCAGGGTGCAGCTCAGGCTCGGTGGCTCCCATGGCCGCTGCAGTCCAGCTGCGCCTCCTCCTCCCGCGCCCATCGCCCCCCCAGCTCCTGTGCGAGCCCCACGCTGCAGCCGTCCCGACAAGCCCAGCGGATGCCGTGGCCAGCCCGCGCCTGGAGCGCCCTAGCGGCGTCCCCCCCACGCAACACACACCCACCTGCGACTCTCGCCTCTGGGGCCTCCTGCCACACGCAGCCCTTCTTCAAGCACCTGTTATCCCAGCATATTTTTCGCTTTTCGGTCACTACCAGGCTGAGTGGCTTCCTGTGGGCAGTAAATGCGTAACACTCTGGCTCCCAACACAGGGCTCCCGACGTAAGTGCTCCACAGATACTTAACTGAACGGAAGAAAACAAAATACCCTTAGAAGAATGGTGAGCAGCCGTTGATCCTCAGCTCACATGCGCCCTGTTGACGCGAGCCCAGCATCGGCATCTGGCTAACACACGTCGTCCCACAGCTGGCGTTGGCCCTCCCGTTCCTCTTGGTGTCTAGTTCACGGCTGGACACACACAGCTGACAGCTTCCTCTGGCAAAATCACTCAGGGCATAAGACGTTTCCTCCCTCTGCACTGGCCTGCCACACCGCCTGGACAGAAAGTCCCAACACCAACAGCGGGGTGACCAGAGAACGGAACAGGTGGCAACGAAGGCCAAAGGCTCCCGAGAGAAGGGTTCAGCGCTGACAAGGGCCATTACAAGTAACAGGCAAACGCGTCTTCGTGACATATGGAAATTGTATTCAAGTTATGTAGTTACACACGCTATCTGTTGTATGTTCTGCGTCACATATTACACACGCGGAGCCCATGCAGGAGGACGCATGACAGAGATGGGTGCAGAACAGACACGGAGACAGAACACATCCGCCAGCAACGATGAACGAGCACATGGCGCCGAGGGGCGGAAGCCACACGTACGAGGTTCACCTCAACCGGACAGATTCCTGCGAAAATCCAACAGATGACCAGCTCTGCTAGTGAAGTTTCAATAAATAAAAGAAACAGCAGCAATTATGACAAAGCCATAGTGGGAAAGAAACAGCAAGGACAACGGCAACCCAGTGCCTGGTAGGCTCCTGGAGACAATGCAGTGCGATCCACGCACCTCGAGCACCAGAGCATTCTCTCCCCCGCGAGCCACATCACAGAGACTCATCCGTTGATGAGCAGCACAGGCTGCTCACCTGCATGAGCCGCTGGCCGGAGGCGGAGTGGGCCTGCTTTTGAAGGGTAGGATGGCAGGGCTCCATGTCCTTGCCCTTGGAGCTGGAGAAGTTCTGAGCCAGCAAGTCAGCCTCATCTTCTCATGTGGGCAAGCCCCCCTTTCCAGCCTGTCCGCACCCACGGGGGATGTCCTCTCTGTTCCTGTCTATGGACACGGGCGATATCACAATCCAGACAGACACGAAGGACCCGGAGCTGCCCCGCTTGTTGCCACTACAAATCCACGGCACGGGTGAAAGCCCATTGTCTTTGATCCGACTTGTAAACTTGCCAGAGTCTGGAAACAAGGCCTCTGCTGCAGTAGATCTGCCCTTGGAGACCCTACGCCCTCCTCCCTGTATCAGCCTCCCAGCTTCCAGAAATCGAAGTATTTCACATGAAAAGCAGCAGGGGATTATGGAAGAGGGCACGTGGCTATGAAGCCACTTGGTGCACCACCAGCCAGCAACAGGACAGCAGAGCTGAGGGCACGTCCGAGCCTCACCCTGACCCCACTGAGCCTGAATGCCCTCCCCAGGCCCCCTCTGTTCGCGGCACTCCGGGCCACCTGCCTACCTGCCACCTGAGTGAGGCGCCCCCGAGAGAGGCGCAGGGTAGGAAGCTGTGCACCTTCGCACCCCTGCCCCCCGCGATTAGTGTGGGCAGCTACCTCCGGCTCCCCGCCACGGGCCCCCCGAGTCATGGGACTCCGGGCGTCAGACGGTTCATCCTAGACAAGACCCCATGGTTGCTTTTGAATCCTGATACGTATTTCAACTGGCATTTCAAACGAAAGACCGAGGAGTGCATCTATGTCCTCATGCTGTAATAGTGCATCCCATCCGTTATAAGGCTGCTCCGTCCCCCACAGTCAAGTAACTTGACCCATTCCTCCTTCACACACAGGTAAGACTGGGGTCAGCTAAGGCCAAAGGCTTTGCTGAAGGCTGCGAAGTAAAACCGTGACAAACTCTGACTTCCAGGAGCTCCTCCCAGGGGAAGGCCAGCCTCTCTGGGCCGGACCCACTTGGCTCCTCCGGAGAAGCAGGGCCAGGGCTGCAGCACCCCCAGACACCCCCAGACACCACCAGCACAAAGGAATAAGGCCCTGGGGCAGGGGTGAGGACCTCTCCTGTCCTCAGGAGATGCTCCGTGAGACCCTGTCCACCCAGGAGCTACACAGGTACATCCAACACCAGATAACAAACAGCAAACAAGAAATATCACAAAACAAAGAAAAGCCAAACACTTTGTCCTCCACTTCCTCCAATCAGAAAGGATGAAAACATAAGTGGGACAGAAAAACAACCATAAAAGAAAGTCCTAGCGCTTTGCTAAACGAACAAATTCAAGTTTTTAAAGGGAAAAGGAAATAAGTAAGTTAAATAAAGAAAACTGGACAGACACATAAGAGATTGTGCTTGGCTGGTGAGGAGCTTGGAGATGATTCACTTCCCTAAGGCCTGGGCCCCCATCACCACCATCGCCCCCCCACGACCTTGCACAGCTTCTCTAGTCTCACGTTTCCTCACGGGTAAAGGGAGAGATTGAACCAGAACCCTAGCAGACCCCCTTTCCACCCCAAAAGGTATGAAAGAAGAGATTTGTAAAGAACACGCACTAAACCGCTTATCAATATTTTCCAGAAGGTTCAAACAGGTCCTTGGCCAGGAGGACCTTCCAAAACTGAAGGTGCTCCTAAGCAAGCCGGCCCCAAACCACCTAAGAGAAAGTGGCTACAGAAATCATATAAATGGAGTAAATCAGGAAAGTGCCATAGAAGCATCTAGAAGAGCACCTGGCACACATCTACGTGGACAGATGGATGGGACGGAGAGAGCACAGAGGGATGACAGGTGGAAAAAAAAATCATAGCTGTTTTATAAAAAAAAAAACTGCTTTATACCTATGTTTTTAATATTTGCTCAATTTAGATAGAATTTATAAAGTTAAATTCTGATGCAAACTGGGCAGTTAGTAACTACAGCTCCTTAAACACGGAGGGGCCACAGCCGAGGGGCGCCCAGGCTGGGGCAACAGCCACCCCGTGGCCAGAACTGCCACATGCAGCCTCCCACTCCACTGCGCGCCAGACGTCAGGTCCTCACCCCCTCCTGGTCCTCTCTTATGCGTCTGGCTCTCCTCTCTCTCTCTTTTTTTTAATTTTTATAAATTTATATTTTATTGGTGTTTAATTTGCCAACATACAGCATAACACCCAGTGCTCATCCCGTCAAGTGCCCCCCTCAGTGCCCGTCACCCAGTCACCCCCACCCCCCGCCTACTCCCCTTCCACCACCCCTAGTTCATTTCCCAGATTAGGAGTCTCTCATGTTCCATCTCCCTTTCTGATATTTCCCACTCATTTCTTCTCCTTTCCCCTTTATTCCCTACATCTCTCTTTCTTTTGTTGCTTCTTCCTCCTCCACCCATCCCCTAGGTGTTGGTGACCCCAAGTCCCAGTGTCAGGCCCCTCATCTCTTCCCACTGGAAGCTCATTCGCACAACCACCTATGAACGGCAACTTGGGCTCAGAAAACTTTTCCTGAGCTCCAGATCCACTCCCTAGATACTCTCACTTGCATATCACCCAGATATACCCAATTTTAAGGCATCGAAAACAAATCTTTCTTCCCAAAGCTGTTTCTTCTCTTTTTATGCTCCGTGACTTAGAAGGTGCAGTCATCCTCAAACCATCATGCTTCTGACCCACACGCTCGTGGCCACCCATGTGCCAACAGCCCCACGCTGTCCCCTCTGTCCCCACTGCCACCGCCATGGCTATGCTTCTATGAAACCCCTCTCTTCAGGGCTCTCCTGGGTGGGAGCTGACCGGTGCCCCGATACCTATGGTGTGACCCGGAATCCGTGAGTGTGAGTGAGAGTCCTCTAGAGTCCGACCTGTCCAGCTATACACCTGCCCTCTACCCAAGTCCCACAATCAGCCACACTGGGCCTGCTGCCTCCTCAACCCCCCGGGCTCCTTCCCGTCCCAAGGAATGGCCCGCCCAACTCTGACCCGAGACCCCTTTCAAGCCCTCCCAGCCTGTTAGTCCCTGTGTGTCTGAGGGAGTCCTCCTTGAGCTTCGCGTGCACTCCTCTGCCTGACCCACTGCCTCCCGCCAGCTGTCCACACCACCTGATGCCCAGCCTTCTCATGCTGTCACAGGCCACTGGTCTCTCCTGCCCACACAGTGATTCTCAGACCCTGCATGGATCAAAACCATATGGGGAGTTTACTTAAAACTAAGATTCCAAGTTCTATCACAGGTTGTAATTCACTGGGGCTGGAACGGGTCATAATGCATTCCTCCACATGGCCAAAGGACTTTCCTGTGGACGGCGCGTAGGGTTACGGTGCATGGTTCTCATGATCACAACTAGGACCTCCGAGCGAAAAAATGTGGCTTCTACTCATTGACAGGAAATAAATTTAAATAATTTAGAGCCATGTGAAACTGCAGTGAGCTAGTTTACGAGGCAGGAGGCTCCCTATCGCTGCAGCTGTTGGAGAAAGGTTGAACCACCACATGTCAAGGCTGCTGAAGAGGGATTCATCCATCAGACAGCCAAGAAATGTTCTCCACTTCTGAATGATTTTATAAAAACAGTAATTGTGTGTGGGTTAACCCCTGTTGCATCTCATTCAGAGATCTGTTGTCAACAGTGACCTCGGGGACACACCCTAGAAGGACCAGTGGTTCTCTCAGACATCTACCATAAGGACCGGTCATGACCCAGACTCCCAGAGAAGCAACTTACAGAGGAGTCAACACCAGGATTCACCAATTTTGCCTTAAAAATGGGACTTGAGTGGGGGTGACTGGGTGACGGGCACTGAGGGGGGCACTTGATGTGATGAGCACTGGGTGTCATTCTATATGTTGGCAAATTGAACACCAATAAAAAATAAATTTAAATTAAAAAAAATGGGACTTGAATCTCGGGTATTCTTGCTACTTGAAGCAAGGAGCTATAAAGGTTTTGTTTTGTTGTTGTTTTATTTTTTTTAAGGAGAGATTAAACCAAAGACAGAATTCAGATGTTAAAGATCAAACAACCCTCATAATTATTTTTTCTCATGTTGAAGATCACAATATCAAATACATATATTACAGACCCTGATCTCTAAG